AGCTCCGCCTCTCTCGGCCAGCACCGACTGACGACCCCGGAGGGATTTCTGAGGCTTCCAGAAACCGGTACGCGCCCCCTCGCGGGTGCCAGAAAGTGGTCACCAGGCGATTCCAGTTCTGAGCAACGTAGGGACTGACAGGATAACGGTTCCTGTGGGTGTGCCACAGCTTGCTGCAGCTGAGGTGGAGGACCCAAGTGTGCATAGAGAAGCTTGGTGTGGGCGTATGAAAGAAAAATTAGTTTGGAGACAGGTTTTTCTGTAGCTCAGGCTGGCCTTAAACTCACTATGTAGCTGAGAATGACTTTGAATTTTTCTTTCTTTCTTTCTTTCTTTCTTTCTTTCTTTCTTTCTTTCTTTCTTTCTTTCTTTCTTTCTCTTTTTTTTTTTTTTTTTTGATTTTTCAAGACAGGGTATCTCTGTGGCTTAGAAGGCTGTCCTGGAACTAGCTCTTGTAGACCAGGCTGATCTCCACCTCACAGAGATCTGCCTGCCTCTGCCGTCTGAGTGCTGGAATTAAAGACGTGCGCCACCAACGCCCAGCTATGACCTTGAATTTCTAATCCTCCCGAGTTCTGGGTTTACCGGCACGATTACCAGGTCCCATTTTATGCAGTGCTGGAGATTAACCCTGGGCATTATTTATGCTAAGGAAAACATTCTATCAATCTGCTGCTCCAAGGAAACGCTTGACAAACTAAACAGCTCTTTGAGCAACAAAACAGCTTCCTGACCCCTTCTGGGCAATGTGGGCAGGTAGTATGTGTGGACAGGAAAGGTGATTGATGTAAAGAAATAGCCTAGTTGGCTACAGTTCCAGGCATTTGCTTCACGTGGATGAATTTGAGCACTCTGCAGCCTGAGGCTAGCAGAAGGCTTGCCTTCTATGATTAGCCAACACTTTTGACTTAAAGGAATGTAGTACTTGAATAACCAGGAGATGGGTCAGCATGATAAAGGCCCTTGATACCAAGCCTGAAGACTTGATTTTAATTCCAGAGACCCACATGGTAGAAGGAGAAAACCAGCTCCCACAAGTTGTCCTCTGACCTCCAAGTACGTTCACACACTGACAATGTGGAGAAGCCTGGCTTAGGACGGCAAGAAATGAAGGGCAAATAAAGCTTTCTTGATGACAGAGTGATTTGGAGACAGCTATTTGTGTCTAAAGTGCCTGCTGCTTCAGAGGCATGTCTGTGATCATCTTTATTTAATGGTATAACAGTGATACTTCCAAGAGTTTGGAAACCCCCACCCTGTGTGCTGTCTGGGACCCCCAACTCTTTGTGTGTGTTCCCATGCTCATGCACAGGTATGCAAGTGTGTATGGAGGCCAGAAGACAACCTCAGGAATGCTGTTCATCTCCTTTGAGACAAGGTCTCTGACTAGCTTTAAGCTCACCAATTTGGCTACACATGCTTGGCCACTGATTCCCAAGGAACCCTCCTACCTCCACCTCTCCAGTGCTGAGATTCCAAGTGCTTTGCCACGATGTCTAACTTTTTACATGGGTTCTGTAGATCAAACTCAGGTCCTCATGTTTCCAAAGGAAAATTGAAGTACTTTATCAAGGGAGCCATCTTCCCAGCCCCAAGGAATCCTTTGGAATAGAGAGATATGAACCCCAAATTTCGGGCTCTGAAGTCTGTCTTTCTCTGATGTTGTTTTCAAAAAGACCCTGTCTTCAGGTGCTAGATTGTGCCATCTGAAGGTCTGGTAGCCATCAGTTGCTGAGTGTCAAAAGTACTGCTTGTACTATACGCTGTGGCATTGACATCATAACGATCTGTGTCATAGTTTATAGTAATTATGCTATCAGGGTGATGGCTTTCTGCCCCTATTTCATAAATAGTTGTGTTTTCCTGTAGGAGTTGATGTGATTGCCATCCATAACACTGATTAAAATAATCCAGCTGACTCAGTTAGCTTTACGGCAAAACCTGGTGACCTGAATTGGATCCCTAGGACCCACATAATGCAAGGAGGAAATTGACTTCCACAAGTTTGTCTCCTCTCTCTCTCTCTCTCTCTCTCTCTCTCTCTCTCTCTCTCACACACACACACACACACACACACACACACACACGTTTGTGTGCACATATGTGCACACAGACACACACACAAAGTGATGGTTTGAAAGAAAATGGCTCTCAAAGGGAGTGGCACTAGTAGAAGGTGTGGCCTTGTTGGAGTAGGTGTGGTCTTGTTGGAGGAAGTGTGTCACTGTGGAGGCCGGCTTTGAGGTCTCATATATGCTCAAGCCACATCCAGTAAGTCAGTACACTTCCTGTTGCCTGTAAGTCAAGATGTAGGACACTTGGCTACTTCTCTATCACTATGTCTGACTAACCACCATCATGTTGCACCATGATCATAATGGACTAAACCTCTGAAAATGTAAGCAACCCCAATTAAATGTTTTTCCTTTATGAGAGTTGCCATAAAAAAGTTGTCATGAAAACACACACACACACACACACACACACACACACACACACACATAAGTGTGATTTTAAAAATATAAATAAGATGAAAATGAAGAAAGGCCAGCCTTGCCTTCTTTGTACACTTGCATATCGTTTTAACACTTATTATTTCTAGTGATTTTGGTTACATATTATGTTTTGCTGTTTTTTTTCTGGGCACAGGGTCTCTATAGGTAGCCCTGGCTGACCTGGAACTCACCAGGGTGAACATTGCCTCTACATTGCAACAGTCACTCTGCTTTGACTTCCAAGGTGCTGGGATTATAGGCAGGCACCACAATGCTTTACTGGTTTATAAATTAGAATTATCCAATCTGGGTGACCTTAATTTTCAGGAGACATTAGGAAGCAGTTAGTTGTGAACTTTGTATCATGGCAGCAGGAGCGGCTCTCACCAGCGATC